TGAGGTGTTTCCTGTGATCAGAGCTGGAGATGTAGAATTCTTAAGTACACTTTTACTTTTAAAATCCTCCAGACTGCAGCTTAGGTGTGCAGGCACTCTTTGAGGTCGTGACAGTGTCTCGGATGGGGACCCGGACCCAGCTTCCCCAGTTCTTCCACTAGTTTGATAGTCTTTAAAGTGGCCAGTCACAGGCCCACGCCCAGCAGGACCCTCTCGGGTACCCACCAAGTCGCCCTCACTTAGGGGGTCGTCTTGGACTCTGTCTCTCACACTCACACACAATTATCTGTAGTGAGCAGGTGCTGAAAAGGACATAGAAGAGAAGAGGAATAGAGCTGTAACATTATCCTGAAAAATGTCACGTTTGAGTAACTCAAGTACTCACAGAAGTAAACAGAAAGCTGTGCCCCTCCTTATGAATGCAAGTCAACATCACGGTCGGTGCCATTTGTCCGAGCCAGATTAGTGTGGAAGTTCAGTTCTGCCCTGACTCAGTCAGAAAAGAGAAAGAAGTGATTGGGGGCGACTTGGGCGATATCAGCATACTTTGTTACTGTCTCTTACAAAACAGTTCTTTCGATCGCGAGTATATGAAAATACCTAGAAAAATCTTCCGATGTGTTTTTTAACTGCACGGCATTTTCTTTGCCAGTAAGAAGCACAGACATTCCTTTTTCTTTTCTCCTGACTCTAAGGATGAGTCGCCATTAGCTGCGTATCTGGCAGGCGAATCCCAGGGGCTGCCTCTGTCTGCTCGGTTGGCTGGGGCCTCTGGGAGCCTCTCAGCCTTCTTTCTTTGCCAGCGGACCATCTTCTCTGCCTCCATTGCTTACCCTGATTACAGTGAGCTTAATCCACAAAACAGCAAGTGGGGAATTGGTCCCTGCTTTGCTCAGTCATCGCTATATTTGGTGACAGCTCATAATATGCTTACTTGATTAAAAAAAAAATGATGACACCTTACTTAGTTGTCAGTTTGTACTTTTGACATCTGTTCCCCTTTTGCTCAGGTTAAGTCACCATAAAATGCTTCAAGACATTTGGAGTTCTTTGCCCAGGTGAAGCTCAGTGTAAAGAGCTCCGGGTAGTACCACATCCCTACTGCCCAGGAAGAACTGTGGTTTGCAAGGACTCGCTGCTGCTCGGTGACTGCCCAGTCATGAAAGTGTTTGCTTTCTGTACATTGGTAGTTAATGAAGCTCCTAATTCTTCCCTTTGCTTTATTAGATGACCGACTGAATGGCAGATTGAGCATTTTTAAAGTTATATTGAAACTAAAATCATGTTTTATACCAATTAGACTATTTTAGAAAACAAGTCCAGTTTATATACAGATATACCCTGACAAGGCTAATTTAAGGAAAAAGATACGGCTGTCACTGTGTTGTGATCACTATCCTTATTTTTGACTATTTTCTTACTCTGGATTCCAAAAGTTTTTTTTATTATGTGTTACATAGAGGTTATGTTAGAAGCACAAAATAGATTGTGATTAAAATATAGTTTTTATAGATAGCGATAGAGATAGATCAACTACCTTGTTTATTTACATACACTGCATCATGGTTTGTTTGAAGTTTATGTCTCCATTTTGTGGTCGGATATCAAAATAATTGCTTAAACTTTGAAGAATTTCTCTTCTTATAATTTAATTATTTTCCTTTTTTCCTCTCAGGAAGATGCCTTTGTTCCCAAGACTATCTTGAACTGGCTAACAGATTTCCTCAGCAGGCCTGGGAAGAAGCTCGACAGTTTTTCTTACAAAAGGAAAAATAATAAATGTTTGGGTGGTTCTGTATCTGAGTACCCTCATTCATATTTTAAATCGTTCAAACAGACATTCTCGCTTCCTGAAGAAACTCATTCTCATGTGTATACTCCCCCTGTACTATAGATATGGTATATACTTTGAACTATTTATAATGACTGTAGATACTTTAACATTCTACTTGCTGATTTTGCAAGTTGAGTTCATGTCATTTATGCACAATACCTTGGAGTTTAGTAACTTCCATCCTATAATATATGTTTTGTATTTGTAACGTGGGTGAAAGTAGACAAAAATTAGCAAGTCTGCTTTGTTCTTGTAATAAAATAACTTATTCTGTTTGCAGTGGTGACTTTTCTGGTAAAAACAAAACAAATTTGAAAGAAAAATGCTACTCCGACCCTAGAAGTATCTTAAAGACTTAATTAAAGTGAAGCTGCCGTAATGTTTCTGTTTAAGGTTTGGGGTAAAGACGTAGATAACACTTCTACGTTGTAATTACATACATGCCTTCGGCCTTTGGACATGAATTTAGAGCACTGCATCCGTGGGTCGGCCTAACCTTTCCCAGCAGACGGCGGGAGAGCCGCGGGCACTGCCGAACCGAAGTCATTCTGCAGAATAAGCCCAGTCCGGAAAGATCAAGCACAGTGAGTCACCGCGGGTATTTTCTGAAATGAACGTGAACTGAAGCCACCTCGGGACCAGTGAAGTCGCAGGTCACAGCGGCTCCAGTGCGTGGGACCCCTCCTCCCCCCCAACCCACCTTTCTGCACCTGAAGGGGGTGCGCTAAGAGGGACACCAAGTGACAGCGCAGTCTTTTCTGAGGATCAGGATGTAGCAACAACTGAGATCTGGGTGGAAAACGGCCTGAGTACGAATCGGATGCAAGACTCAGGGGCTGGAAGAGAAGTTTCTTTGTGTTTCTGTTTTTGTTTTTAAGCAAACCTACCCGCCTGCGGTGGGGACAGCTCATGCAGCTGCCGCCGCTGCGTTTTCACTGCTTCACAAACCGCGAGAAGGGGAAGGCCCGATGTCACAACAGAAGCCGGCGACTGCACCCTGAGCCCTCGGAGCTCCCGCCGCCCCTGCCGCCGGGACCCGGGGCTCCACGCCGCTCGTCTACACTGCATCCGGCTCCTGCGGACCAGACCGGCCCAGCCCCTGGGGCGCAGAGACCCCCTCCTCCCAGGACAACGGTGCCTGGACCCGGGCGGTCCAGCAAGAGAGGAAAAATCGCATTTATGAGACTCGCCGCCCAAACGCCTCACGGTACCACAGGCTGCTTTCCAGTCGAGAGCCACCAGTGACGGGCACGCCGCAGCCACCTCCCGGGAACCAGTGCACTCGCAAGTAAACCTGTAACCCAGTCCAGCCGGGTTCCTCCCCATGGGCCAAGCCACCGAGGCTGCCGCTTCTCTAGGCGGCCGGGGCCCTGTGACCTCGGTCCGACCTCACCTCCGCCCGCCGGGGTCGGCTCTTCTCGAGCTCCCTGCCAGTAAGCGAGGGAGGTGTCCCTCCTCTCCACCCCACTGTCCCACCCCCTCTCCCTGCTCCCTCGTCCCCAACACAGGGTCTCCCGCCTCTGTCCCCACACCAACCCCTTAGGTGCCCTGCCTCGAGTCTCCAGCCAGGGAGGTGCCCTCATCCAAAGGCTGCACTCACCTGGCACTCCCGCCCATCCCCGCAGCTTGCTGGGGGCCCAGACTTGCTCTGTAAACGGAGCTGGGTCGCAGTGCAGTCCTTGCTCGTGCCCTTTTCCTCTCCCCTCACTGCTCCGTCTAACTCCACGCACAGTCTCTGTCAACAAGGTGCCGTCTGTAATTGGTTACCCAGTCCTCGTTATTGCATCCAGTCCCTGTATCTTGAGGAAAGTTTACCTTTACATCAATCAGACCCATATTTAAAAGCCTCTAATCTTCCCTACATCAGCTTAATAAACTTTGAATTTCCTGCTTTTATCACAAGTCCACTGGAAACTTCTCTGCAAATAGTTTATTATTCATTCATTGTTTCCTCTCTCCAGCACGGCTGCCATCCGGCTAAGTCTCCTGCTCTTTGGCGAACACTTGTATGGGAAAACGGGGCCAACTCAATGTGTGGCAGTTTATGCCCCTCCCCCAAAGCTGCAGTGGCAGAATCTCACATTTTCCTGAGAACGATTCTAGACAATGTCTCACACCCAGTAGTTGCAACTCTGACAGAAGTGAGCTTTAAGCTATTTCATATTCAAAATTGAAAGGATGATTTCTGTCCCACAGTTCATTCTCTATTAGTTTATTGGGAATACTGGTACAGGGCCTCTGAATTTCCCAGAATTATGCAGCCTTTCAATCTGTGTTCTGTATATAAAATCCAAAAGTTTTTGCATCTCTGGGAATCTACTGCCTCAATTTCATAGAGCTATCCAAATGATTAGATAAGTCTTTGGAGAATATCTTATCCTAAAGTGAATCTAGTCAAATAACGAACTCCCGTCTTCCACCTATGGCCTTTCCTACTGAACTGACTTTTTACTACACAATTGGGGATGTCACTTTAAAAGTTCAGTAAACATAAAATACAAGACTTGTAATTGTTACAGGCAATTTAATTTACAAGAAAATCCCTACTGTATTACAGAAGATGTTTAAAAATGACCCGGGAGCCATTAAAACTGATATTAATGTAACTAACCAACCGTAGATCCGACACCTCACCAGGGACCATTGTAATAAAGCTTCAAAGTCAACTCCTTTCCCTGGAAAACAATGTGCCACTTAGGGCAGCTGGCAAGAAACTACAGGGGAAAAGCTTATGATGTTTAATACAGTAAATACAGATAGACACAGGCATCCCAATATACAGTAACCACTTTTATCTGGGTAATTTCCCAGTATTCAAAAACATCAAAAAGAGGAATTAGATTTCGATCTATGAATGATAAAGAGATGACTAGACAGATGTTTCCATTCATGACATTAAAATAGTGCTGTCAAAATAAAAAAATGTGGAGCTAATTAACAACCATTAATGAAATTATTCAAGAACCTTTTTTTTTTTTTTAAGATGACAAAACCCAATATTGTGGATAAATTAAAAGTTTTTGAAAGGAAGATTTCTTGGAAGTTTAGCCCTCTATCCAACGGCCAGTCAAAAGGTAAAAGGAACTATTTCTGTTTGGGAGGGAATGGTCTAAGTTAAGAGAATGAAGCCTCAAAGAGCCTAACCCTGATTATTAAAACCGTATCTGGATCCTTGAGAGGTAAAGCTGGTCCTCATTAACCCGACGTATCTCTTCCCTTATCTCTAAGTTTGCAGCACCGTTTCCTAAATCCCGAAGGGAAGTGTCCTTTTTAATTTTTGTGCTAGCATCACCTTGACTTTCAGGAAGCAAAATAGACACGTGACCCAATTTCCCCACCACCTCCCATTTTCTTTCGATAACTGCCCTCCCGACTTCCAGCCTTCCCTCGCGACCGGGCGACGGTGCCTGCCGTCAGCTCTGCCGTGCAAGCAGCCGCGGCTTTTAGCAGAAGGCGCCCAGTACTCCATCCCGCCACCGCAGCTGCCCCCTACTCGGGGCACTGCCGTCTTTCAAAACAAATCCCGGGCAGAGAACGATATACTTGCGGGTCATTTCACTCGAGGGACAGGGAAACAAAGCCAACGGCAGCGATTTCTCAAGAGTCGCGGTTGGGCTGCTTGGCTGGCAGCTCCCGAGTGCGGCGAGTGAGGCTGCCAAAGAGTTAAACTCGCGGAGGGGAAAACCTGAGCCCGCGTTCCGTGCGCTCGCCCGGGGCTGCTGGAGATTCGGTATCTCTCGGTTATTTCCTGCGAGCTCTAAAGCCAGTTTTCAAGAAAACAAGTGGCAGGGTTTGAAATGTCACACCGAGTGACCTGGGCCATCCCCGCCCCGGCATTCGGGTCTGCAAAGAAAATAAACCGAGGACACGCCCGACTGCGTCTGGGTGGACCCGCGCTCCCGGCGGGGCGCTGTGGCTCCCGCGG